CTTAAAGGACTTAACAAATACTTCTGCCTTTACGTCCTCCCAAGATCTTTTTACTCACTCGTACACTTGTGAAATAGAGGGCTGCTTCATTCTACCTGAGGTTGTGAGGGGCGTGATGTGGCTCTCCTATCTACTTGTTCCATCGTTCTCGCACTTTTTCCTCAAATTGCTTATTCACCGATACATCTAAAGGCTGCAATTGGCTAGTCAGTCCACCAGGAATGACAGCTATCTGCTTTTTTTTTTTTTTTTTTTTTTTTTTTAATTCTATTGCTTTATTCTTTATGGTTTCAGTTCTATGGGCACCAAAGAGATCCAAAACCAAAAGAGAGGGTTTTCTTAAGAGTCCACCAGGTCGCCTCGCCCATACGTTCTGTAACCACAGTTTCATTCCACCTTCGCCCATCCAGCCTTTCGGATGAACATGAACAATTACAGATGAACAATTTCAGATGAACATGAACATGTATAATAATGTTGGAAGTTTTTCTTTTGTATATGAAAAACGGAGGTAGTTTTGTGCCATTAGCACAACATGTTAGAACTACCGTATATCGGGTTTTTTCATGATCTGTGGTTTTTATCGTTATTGATTTAGACCCTTTAATACTCACAGTCTTGTTGGATGGTACATCAAATATGAGGTACATCAATATATGATGGTACATCAAATATAATTTCATCCATATTTTCTATTTGACCAAGCTCAAAAGAAGTTTTCTTGCATGCATTTATAACAAACCTATGAAATGCTAGTATTTTTTCTTCATAATCTGCTGACATTTTTTGTGCAATAGTTGTTTTTGTGCGCATTAATAAATGGCCTCATTGATTATCATTTTGGTTGAAACACTTATCCCAGATTTCCTCTTACCTATCAACCACATTTTTATGGCATTTTCAAGTTCAGGCCAAGATGGTGCTGGGCATCGAAGGTTATGTTTTTGTTTTTTAGCAGTCTTCAGTTGATCTTCCTGCAGTCGCCAAGTACGTATAATTTTTTCGATAGGTGGTGGACCAAAATGCCTTGCTACTGCTCTGTTTCCATGCACTTTGGCGTAGTTTATCACTCCTAGTTTATACTGAATTGTATAGCTTAATCTCTTGTTTCCTGTAGTCATATTTTCCAGGGTATTTTTTTAAACAAATAGTTTTAAGCACTGATACCCACACGTTTATACAGAGTAGCACCGATACCGACACATGTGCCAGCTGAGTCAAAGAAAGTCTACGTAGGAAAGGCTCTATAGACGTAATGTGACCATCAAACCTGTTCGAACTTCGACATCAGCTTCGAGCTTTGGCGCTTTTTGGCAACAGATATTTTACGCATACGCAAAATAATTATGCAAGATGTAGAAAACGTTGTGTGTGTCTAGACTTTTATCTGGGCTAAAAATAGCATTCGATATTGAAAGTTAACCTGTGTCCTTTACGTATAAGATGCATGTAACTTTTTTGAGACCAAATTTAGGAAAAAAAGTGCATCTTACATGCCGTCAAATACGGTACCAGACAAATATGGTAGTATAGAAATTAGCACATGTATAAAATGAACAAATCGAAGGTGTCAGTTTGCTATAGGAAAAGTGCCTTCAATATGGAATATGATCGCCTCTAGAAGCAATACAGCACATACAGCGATGTGTGATGCTTTCACTTATGCGATCTATCAGTTCCATAGGAAGCGAGAGCCATTGCTCTTGCAAAGCAGTTGCAAGCGTGACAAGGGTCTGAGGGGGCGGTTTGAGAGCAACTAGACGTCTCCCTAAAGCATCCCAAACGTGCTCGGTAGGATTCAAGTCCAGGGATCAAGCTGGCCACTCCATGCGCATAATTGTTTCCTGTTGAAAATAATCATCTATGATGCGAGCCCTGTGTGGTCTTGCATTGTCGTCCTGTAACAGGAAAGCATCCCCTATAACCCCGGCATATGGGCACACATAAACGTCAAGGATGTCATCTCCATAAAATTGAGCATTCACGGTTCCCCTTGGAAAGACATGGAGGTCTGTGCGTCCACCCAAAGAGATGCCACCCCAAACACAAACACTGCCCCTTCCGTATGCATCTCTTTCACGGATGTTTGACGGATGATAACGGGTTCTAGGTTCTCTCCATATCAAATAACGCCTACTATCGCTTTCTAGACTAAACCTGGACTTATCCGTAAAGAGAACCACACTCCATTGATCAGGCGTCCAGTGGACATGTTGTCGTGCCCACTGAAAATGGTCCCTCCTATGGCGTGACATGAGTGGCACACAAATGGCTGGTCGCCTCGCATACAGACCACCTTCGTGAAGCCTTCTACGCACAGTTGACATTGAAATGAACCTTCCAGTGGCTGCAGCAAGGGAGGATCTAAGAAGAGTCAAAGTAGCGGTTCTATTCTTGCGTGCACATAATGTCAAATATCGGTCATGGGTGCTCGTCGTAGCAGTTGGCCATCCTTGTCTGAACCTCTTAGATGCCGAATCTGTGGTTTAAAATTGCCTCCAAAGTCTATGAACCACAGAAGGACTCACATTTAGCCATCTGGCAACTTCTGTTTGACTTTGTCCTGCCTCTAGTCTCCCAATGGCTCTCAATGAACAGATACTTTAACAGCTCTGTCTCATCATAAATGAAATTCACAAACCACCAAAATAATCCGTTTGAGAACTCTGACCAAGTAATATAATCCCTGCTTTCACCCAGGTGTTCCAAAAAACCGCTGTCTGTTTTGTGAGAAAGTCTAAGCATCAAAAATAAATACACCTAAAGATTTTAACTGCTGAAAATGAATATCCATTACACAAATCCCAAACAGTTTCAGTAAAAATAAAAAACCTTAATAGAAATTAATTAAATTACATTAGCAGAATTAAAATTTGTGACACAAGATAACCGTGGATGAAAAAGTTCTTTTTTAGTGCATGATGTGGACAAAACCATAATGATTTATTGTAATGCCTGTATTGTTTTCAGGACACGATGATGTAGAAATCCCTCCCTGGTGAAAACTTTTTAAAAAATTACAAAAACATTAAAAATAGTATTTGTTTCTCATTGTCATCAAACGATCGACATCCATACTGTTTCAATTTCAAATAAAATTTTAATGGGAAATATGCTATCCCTGAACTCTCTTTTCTGATCAGTCATTTTATCTCAACAATTTTAGTATATTATTAATTTCTAAATTAATGCAGCTAAAAATGATAGAATTATATTCTACAGTTGATGAATATACTTTCTAGCATATGTAATTTTCTCTTGTTAAGTTGATCACTAGTATAGTCATGTATATATACAACTGTAACAACAAATGTGCACTCATGCTACTGATTTCAGCAGTTTATGGGCAAAATCAAGTAGGAAAATGATGAAAATATCATTGCATGTGATTTCCTAATGGACCAGATGAAATTATTAGAAAGGCTGCATTCAACCTGACTGACTTTTGCCCATCTTTGGTATATATAGTACTTTCCCATTTTTATGTCTTGTAGATTTTAAATGTCACTAAAATAAATTGCCAGTAGCAGTCCTAATATAAACTGCTTACATTTGACAAAGTGCATATACCATTTGTTTAGCCACTGAGTAAACCTTTGACTACATTTTTTAAATGATAAAAGCAGATCGATTTTTTTATTAATTTTAAGGTATGTTTTGCAATTCTGTAAGAATATTACTGCTCTGTCCTATGTTATTTATTTTGTTATGTAATTTAAACAAATCTTGCTGTATTCATTATTTATGATTCATATGCTTAAATGTGTAAACTGACATTTGTACTAACAATGATAATTTAATTGGTTTATTTGTCATGCCAAAACCGTTTATTTGTGAATAGCCTGTGTGTTAACATCTTTACCTTTTTCAAAAATATGTTTGCAATTTTTGATTTACTGATGACTGAGAATTAAAAAAACTACTAGTAGACCATGTTCTACTTTTAGCCAAAGCCCCTTGAAGCTATATTTCTGAATTTTAGATCATCAATTTAAATCTAGTAACATTACATATAGATATGGCAGCATTGGGGCTTCTCTTATTGTGTAGGTCAGGTAGCAGAATGCTAACCCTCCAAAAGGGCTGATGGCAGAACGGCACCGCAGGCAGCAGAATTTAAAAGCGGCAAAATTTTAGAACTTCAAGAGGTACTAAGCAGCATGACTTAGGGCTGGCAGAAATTGAAAATTCATTTTACTAGCCCTGCTCTCCTTCTTCCCATACAACCACTCAAGGGCCAAAAGCATGGTTCTGGCAAATATCAGTACATCAGTCAGTGTATTGTTAATGTGTATGGTGCAACTCCCTAGCTAGTAGGTGTTTGAAAGGGACTTGTGAGAATCGCAGTTTGGAGAAGAATCATATTTATGGTGCACCTGCTTTCTTTTGTTGAGTATTAATTCTATATTCCTAGATATTGTAAGGGGAGTTTTTTTATTATTTTATTTTATTTATTTATTTTTGGACTGGTGGTCTGGATGTTGAGATATTAGATACTTGCAGTTACTAGATGTCTGGATTTTGGACTTAGTACTATATATGCATCTTTTATCTATAAATTTAACAAATTTGTTATTTATGTTTGAGTTTTCAAATTCAAATCAAATTTTGATAAGGTAAGTAATCAGGAAAGTTCATATGTGTGAGCACCTGGATTTTTGTGTTTATTTTTTGCATCATATCAAAAATGAACAAAATAGCTGGGATTGTTGCTGATGAAATTACAGCAAACTTCTTGAATTTAAAATTCTGAAAAACTCATAAAGACTTTAATACCATATTACATTAATTTGTCAATGGATAGATCAAATACAAATTCATCTAAATTAATGATGAAATAATATTAAATGAAACAAGTTAATATCATTTAATAAACTTTAAAAAAATGTATATTTTGAACTTTTGGTCTTCTGTCATAACAACCCAGGAAAACGTAATTTCTTCTTCTGTATATATGTATATAAAAATGACCCTAAAATACAATGTACTATATTTTTTAGGGAAAACTGGCTATTCTGTCTGCCATGAACTGTTTTATGTCAGTTGATGATGAAACCAGTGATGTCATTGCAACTTCAAAAACAGCTGGACCAAATGAAATGTTGAAAGTATGTGTTTACAGAATTTTTAGACTACTTTATATATTTCTTTAAATAAGAAATTGTCTTCATGCAAGATATAATGTGGCACTGGTATGAATATATGTATTATGTTAGGTTGACTTTTGCCTAATTTCATATTCCATTTGATGCAGTATGTCATTATCATTGTTAAGAATGCTACAAAATAAAGAGTAATTTTTAAAATCCTAGTATTGCAACATTAAAAACAGTTGGACAGATAACATTTTGAAATTATGTGTTTACAGAACTTTTGGACTATTTCATCTATTTCTGTAAATAATAAATTCTCTTCGTGCAAGATATAATGTGACATTGGTATAAGTATAAGCAGCAGTAAAAGAAAATGGTGAATTTTTAAGAATCTTACAGAATATATCAAAACTCTGATTCTAGTATCCTATGGTTGAACTTTGAATAAATTTTAAAAAAATTGCATTAATTAATGTGATACGTGTTAGCTTGAATCTGAAACTAATATATAGTATATGTATTGTATTGTAACATATTGTATATGTTATATGTATTATATTAGGCTGGTTATTTTTCTTAATTTCGTGTTTCAGTTGATACAGTATGCTGTCATCAGTGTCACTTTTGTTTTGCATAAGTTTTCAACTCTTGAAATAAGTAAATTTCAAGGTTTGAAACATTTTGCGAAATAAAAGTTCTTTCTGTATTTGGATCGGATATTTTTTCAGGGAGAAAAATTTCTAAGAAACACTGCAAGTAACAAATACTTGATAACTTGAGCCAAATGCCTTATTTCTACAGAATTCAAGTTTGCAAATCAGTGGTTTAATCCTCTGATCCATTTAAATTGAGATCTACTTTTCATTGCACTTTCATGTTGTAAATAGCAACAATAGATGAATGGTGATACAAAAATATAAAAACAGGTAGAGGAGACCTAAATAAGCAGACTTTGTAATGGAATTTATGTGCATAAATGGCATATTGAGATGGTGTAGGGTAGTGAAAGATAAAAGTGTTCATAAATCATCATTCTTCTCTTGGATTTCAAGAGATACTCATATGCATCGCTACAAGAATATAGAGCTTGCCAACATGTATTTTATCTGTGGATCTATGGCTATAATAGAGCTTAAAGTAGGTACTTTGGAATCTTTCTCTGTACCTTCTTTGAGTAGCTGCTCCGTTTCCGTATGCAGTCCCTTAGATGAAATGCATGTTGACAAATTCTGCATTTGCATAATGATGCAGAATGGTTTTATCTGCCCCCTGAATAGTGCCATGTATTACTTTAACACACCATTTCTGCACTTGCATTCCATTGCAAAATCTGCTTATTTTGATTCCTTCAACATTTTTTGACGTATTTTTTAATTACCCTGTATGAAGTATTTTTAAGCTTAAAACCATTCAGTGATTAAGTAAGTGAAAGTACTGAACTACAGTAATTTCATTTTAATTTAATTCCTATTTAAGTAACTATATCTTTTGCTCGTAATGCTGATAAGATGGAGATCCTATCCTTTACAAAAAGCATCTCTCCTCACATGAATCAGAGAGGATTTATTTCGCCATATGTAATTTGTTTATCTTTATCAGAAACAACTGAAAAACATTCAAAATCAATATTTCTTTCTTTTAAAAGCTGAGCGAAATTGAATTTGTGAAGAATGTTAGAAATGGGGAAGTAATCATAAAAGCTAATTGATGCATTTCAATTTTCTTATAATGCATAAAAATGCTGGATATGTAAAATGTTTTCCTTATATGAAAAGTAAACTGATTCTTAAATGCCTATGATATTCGTAGCCGGAACATGGCGTCGAAAGAAACATTTCTCAGAACATTGTTCCACTAAAACGGGTTATCATCTTCACTTGGTAAACAGACTTGAAAGCCAAACAGGAATCAGTTATCGCTCAGATTGGTGAAAGAGATGTTTGCTTTCAAATTCTGTATACATACAAAATATATTTTGTAATTATTTTAATACTGTTGCCTCAATACCTTGGCAAAATGACATGTGTTTATTACATTAATTGTTATTTTTAAATTGTATGTTATTTTACTTTGATTCTTGTAATAATCTGTTGTATATATTTTTGTAAACACTTTTACATCGTACATTCAGTGATTTGTCATTAGTTTTGATTTTATTATTGTAAACAATATTTTTGTATCATATGTTTTGTGATGAGTAAAAAAATATTAATTTATCCCCAAAATGTTAAATATTGTTCAGTTGTTTTTTTGTTTAAGTTCCAAAGTAAATTACAAATGCAAAGGTTGTGTAATTGGGTGAATTTTAATGATTAGCTAATGCGCAAAATGCACTTCAATAATTTTCCAACTGTGTTTTCCATATCCATGATAATGTGCAAAGAACTGATGACTACAGTTGCTGCCAATTTCATGTTTGTTATATGAATTAGAAGTAATTTCAAATAAACTTTTTGGCAGTGTTCATTTTTGTATCCATACACATATATTCAGTCTACCGGAAAGTTCTGTTCGTTTTTATGACAACAATTTTTTACACATAAGCACATGTTTATTTGGCATATGTTTGGCTCTCTATTTTTATCGCTTAATCTATGCATACTGATAAAGCAAATTAACTAAAACAAAGTTAATTCATGTTAATCTTAAGTATGAAGTGATAGTGTACCCATGACTACTGATAAAGTTCATTTACGCCACTGTATTTTATACAAATCTCAACAAGGAAGAAATGCTACAGAAGCATATAGAAATTTATTGAAAGTCTTTAGTGAAGGTACAGTTTCTGATAGGACATGCAGAAGATGGTTCAAAAAATTTGAAACAAGTGATTTTGACCTTTCTAATAAGCCATGTTCTGAGAGACCATCTTTGATCGATGGTGGTGTTCTGGGAGACCATCTTTGATCGACCATGTTGGGGAAAGATCTTTTTCTGACAACATCAAAGATCACGGAAAGGCTTAATTTAGCTCATCAATTTGGACCATATTCGGAAGAAATTATTGGTGTGGAAATATTCAAGATGGGTGCCATTTGAATGATCGAGTCATCATATGCACATCTGTGCTTGCTCGGAACAAAGTCAAGCCCTTCTTTAGTCGAATGATAACTGGAGAAGAAAAGTGGATTATCTATGAAAACATTGTAAAGAAAAGGGTATATTGTGAACTCAGAAAACTTAGCCCTTTTGCCTCTAGACCAAATTTGACTCTGAATAAGAGAATTTTGTATATATGTTGGGACATTCAAGGACATCATGAGCTTTTAAAACTGAACTAAAAGATCAATTCGGAGAAGTATTGTCAGCAACTAGATCATTTAAAGATAGCAGTCCAAGAAAAGAGGTCAGCAATGTTCAATAGGAAAGACATTATACTGTATCATGATAATGCCAGACCACATGCTGCTTCGGGGAATTTTATCATATCTACCAAAATCCTCCAAAAATGGGATATAGAAATTGCTCTCATGCTGGCAATACATCATTAATAATAATGGCAATTATGTAATCAAGTTTATTGATGGGAAGAAAAATTTTTATTTATTTCGTCCAAAGGGGCAATTTGCCCAGAAGGACTATTAATTTCGTTTTGGCATTTTGCGTCGATCCACGTTAACCATTGTTTCACTTTTCAAATTGTTGCCTCCAAATATTATTGCCCTGCATTATATTTAAAGAAATTAAATAATGAAGAATCTGCATGAATGTATGTATGTTTCTCGCATTGTGCTAAAACAACGGTACTTAAAGCCATCAAAATTTGAATAACATAATCTTCCATAGAATATGGGCATGTGGAAGCCCTAATTTGAATTTGAAATTTTATTATCAATTTCATATTTTGTAACACTTCATTGAATTTTTTTATTAATAAACTAAATGATTTCAAAGTGAGCAATGGCAACGCTGGACGGAAAAAAAAAAACACATTTTTATCTCTAGCACGCAAGACTCTGTATCAGAAATACTAAAGATATGCTCATTTTAAAATTATTTTGTGATATTGCTGTTGAACTAAATTTTATGGTTTAAGTGCGAAGAACATATTTAATAAATAAAGGTAACACACAAAATGTTGAAAAAAAAAAAAAAAAAAGCCTTTGGACGTAATTTAAAATCTGAAACTTTTCAGATTTTTTCCTTCTTTTAAATTCTAAAAAAAGATAGGACTTTCCAGTAGACCAAATATATACACATATCTAATAAGTCATATATTTACATACACAACAGAGAGAGAGATGTGATTGGTTTAAAAGTTTTTTATGTTTTTTTATTAGTACAGTCAAAAGTCTTTAATTCGGACTCATCGGGACTTCGGCGATTCCGGATTATCGGTTTTTCTGGATTAAAGATCATCAATTTAAATATGGTAAGATGGCATGCAGAAATTATAAAATTAAAAATATGAAACCATAATTTATGAAGTAAAGAGCAATTATGATCTAAAAGATATCAAAATTTACAAAAAAAAAAGCTTAATATTTATTTGTTTACTTTATTAAACATTTCTTTCAACGTGCATGCGTAAAGCATACATTATGTGTAGTCATAATTAGAAAATTGCAACCAGAAAAATATTTGATGTGTATTCATGATAGTTGCAATGACGAGGAATTTATTTAAATCATATCAAAGATGGAGTACATCGAGATGAAATACTACATTTAATAAGGAATTGTAAGCCGAATAAGATAAAAACATCTGCCCTGAAGATAAGGATAGTGCTGACAGATCAATTTCCAGTTCATTTTGCGCATCGACGTCCCCCCCCCAATAGAACAGCATGAAATTGATAAACAGATTTTGGAATGGTTAGAGAAACAAAGGATATACCTTTATCCATTTTTTGCAGCAATTCCTTTTTTTTGTTTGATGGACATCGAAACATGCTTTCGCTTTGTAGATCCTTTGGCAGCTCCAGAATCGGAAACTCTTTTTGACATAATCGAAAGTTCAAGCTTACTTTTTATAAAATTGTGCTAACAGTCTGCAAAAAATAATAAGCTGGATCCAATTAGAAGATTAAGGAACAATGCAATCTGCAACATTAATTGAAATAGATAATTTTAGCTTAGCTTATACCATCCGTTATGCATTAAATGCGCATGCATAGACATATCATGTGCATGCGCAAATGCATATGCGCATGCATAAAGGCATTATGCGTTTACGCATCCACAGAAAGTTTGTAGTATTAAGGTCCATATTATAGATCATTCCGGATTATGGACATCCGGATTAAAGACTTTTGACTGTGTTAATGTAATGAATAAGATTTATATTAATGAATATATATACAAATGTTTTTCATCATTCAAAATAATAAATCCATAAATTTCTAATGTTTTAATGTGTAGCATTTATAATAAAAATAAAGCTCTTAGCGCATTTATAATCTGAAAAGTATTTCATTAATAACATGAAAATAATAGCATACAAATTTAATATGTATTCTCGTTATTACATAAACTATGTTTTCCTTTTTTACACACCTTTTATGTTGTTTACAGTAACTCACTGATTATGCAATTTCAGTTTAATAATGGTAAAATTGTGCATATACAAACAGATTTTAAAAAATTATTCACCTTAAATTTAATAAAAAAAATTCTCTTATATAACAATAACATTTCTTTTCACACAGTCAGCATGAAATGAGGCAAACTTAGTGAACTTTTGGGGACGAATAATTTCTAAACAAATCATCAAAAATAGTACGTCTTCACCAAGCACATGATAAAATACTGTCTACTCTGAAATTTCCATGATTATAAATTCAATGAATATATAAACATTTTAAAAATGACTTAGACAGTTATACCACAACAAAACAGTAATACATATATGGCTTTTTTCATATTTCTTCAATTAAATCAGCTTCAATTTCCATTGTTCAGGATCTCACAGTTGCAGCCATCGCCATATTGAAAATTATCCATGATCCTTCAGAAGCAGAACTTTCGTCTGATTTGGTTGATCTCTATGTGGGATACAGCTACAGGTGAAACATTTTCGGAAGTTTCAATATGTTCCTCGTAGCCAGGACATCCCTTCGTCGGCTAGATGGAACATTTCTCAGAAACCTCCCATTAAACCAATGCTACTAGAATCTAATTACTTGGAAATGTCCCGCCTAGCCCAATGTGTCACTAGATAGGGCTTTTATTCTAAACTTGCAAAATTATGACTGAATTTTCAGTTAGTTATTCTTCTTACCAATATTATTAAGAATGATGCTTGATTACTTTGTTTTAAAGCAAAATATTATTAATGCTATGTATTATTTCCTTTACTTATGTAATGTTAAATAAAAAAAAATGTGATATTTGCATGAAATCTGAAGCAACTTGGAGAAATGATCTCGTAAATTAATTTAAATTGAATAAAGGGATTTTTTCATAAGATTCTGCTCTGAACTGCAAATTTATATGAATATAATTAAAGCATTCATAGCTTTTATTTATTTAATAAACTAGTCGTATATTCGAATATTTTAGATACGATGTAATGCTCCAAGAGAGAAGAATGATAAAGATGATATTCCACCTGAAGAAAAGGGTTCCATTAAAGCATGTGAAATAAATTATGTGTAAGTACTTTAAGAGATAAAATTAATATGATTATTCATATGTGTTTGTATACATAGAGAGAAAGCCTGATTGAAAATTCTCTGGCTGCCAAGCTTTAAAGGGTAATAGGATATACCAAAATAAACATATTCTGTCAAAAATGCATGTCTACAACTAGAATCCACAAAGTGAATACATCCACAATGTAAATATTCACAAACTTGAGTCAAGCAATCTTTAAGAGTGTTATCAAAGGTCCAGTGGACTCAGAAAAATTACATGCCAACTGTTCCAATTCTGACATCTCTAGGATTTAAATTATAAAAATTACAAATGATATATTTTTCATGTATACCTTAAAAAAACACTCAATAAGTGTGACTAATAAAATTTAATCATAGTTATCTTAAAAGTCAGCTACAAATGTTCATCGTAAATATTCACAAACTTAAGTCAAGCAATCTTTAAGAGTGTTATCAAAGGTCCAGTGGACTCAAAAAAATTACATGCCAACTATTCCAATTCTGACATCTCTAGGATTTAAATTATAAAAATTACAAATGATATATTTTTCATGTATACCTTAAAAAAACACTCAATAAGTGTGACTAATAAAATTTAATCATAGTTATCTTAAAAGTCAGCTACAAATTTTCATCTTGTTTTAAATTATTTATTTATTTATGTATTTTATATGCATGTCTTTTTAATTTTCTTGGATGGTTTCCCTTCTGGTGGTTCTTTTTTACTTTTTGAGGTATTTCATGCATTCTTCTGATTAATGAATCCTTGCTGATGTTTTCCACATTGGCTTTCTTCTTTCTTGTTGCTGTTTGTGTACTTTGCACCTCGTGAGCTTTCTTAATAAGCAGCTCCCACCCCCTTGGTTGGCAACATTTTTGTGGTATTCATCACATTTTCAGCAATGGTTTTGCACTAATTGAACATTTAACTTTCTTTGGTACTTAACAGTTCTTGACAAGTATTTCTTTTTCTCCCAGCACCCTGATTTTATTGAATGTTATTGAAGTACAAGGGAATTCCATGTAAATAAATTACGTCCATATGTGTCAAGAGTGCAACAGATAGGACTAATCTTTAAAAGGATAATGACTTTGGAAATATACACTATGCTCACACTGACCAAAGTGAAAAAAACACAAGAAGATATTAGACGGTATATTCAAAATTGTCGTGGACGACTGGATCAACAACGGTGTCATGAACTTGGCAATATATTATGTAAGTTCGCAGATGTTTTTAGTAACAATTCTGGTAGTGCAAAAGTTGATGGCTAGATGTCTTAAATGATAAAGATAGCACACATACTTACACTAATATTACATATTTCAAAGGAATTACCAGTTTCAATAATATTCTGTGTATTTACACAAAATACTTTCTTATCTGTGCATGCATTTTCTTTTATTATTATAAATCACAAGTTTCTAAATCCTGAGCTGAAAAAGCTGGGGAGGAAATACATGAGGTGGAGAAATATGCAAATGAATATAGTAAGTATTTTAGATGAAGATGTGTTATTGGAAGGACAGATCTAAACCATAATTTTTATGCTCATTTAACTGTGTATAATTATTAACAGATGGGAGACTGAAAGTCAGTGAAAAAGAAATTTAATGATTAGGTGTAGTAATAATAGTAACTTATCCTTAATGTGATTTTTTAATTAAAGTTATTATTAATTTATGTGGGGAGATTAAATGTTAATTGATCTTATTTATCAATCACTTTTTGTATTATTTTGAGAAATAATCCATTTTTTTGGTATCAAATCAGATATTGAGAACTACTGTTTATAACAAACCAACCTTTTGGACTCAAAGTTTGTTACAGCAGAGTTTCACTATATACACATACATGCATATAAATTCACATATAAGTGTAGTTGACTTATATGTGATTATACTTTACTTTTACTAATACAAAATTTTATTTCAGAAAGAAATTTCAAAGTTTTCAAGACAGAAAATTAAGAATTAATTTAGAAGACAGAACAGCTGTCAAAAAGGCAAAACAAGAAGGCAATCTTCATGAGGTTCTACTTGATAGGTTTGTAAAATTTTTACATTACAAAAATAAATAATTTCATATCATATATATTTAATCATTGAAAGATACATTTTTGACTTATACTATATAAAACATTTATGCTTTATATTTATCCATTGTATGATAGCATTGTGATTTTCTGGTAATTTTGAAATACCACAAATATAAATGTGGCTGGTTGATTTTTTGGTGCAGCATTTACTTAAATGTAAAATTGAAAACTAAGTCTTAATTATTTAATGAATAATAGAGTGCACAATCATTTTTGGCATTAAAATGTGTTTACAAAAACATAAATGTAAACTGGAGGAAAATTTGGGTTCATCTCATATTTACAAGAAGTATAAGAATCCATCATTTATTCATTAGGGGGTAGGTGTTGGAAATTTTTTGTTTTAAATCTTTTTTATGGTAAATATTATTCCATCAATTATAAATTAATTTATGGTAAAATATAATAAATTAGAGCAAAATTAATGAAAAAAACTTATCTTCAACGAAATTTTTTGGGTATTGGATAATTTTTTCCCCTTCACTTCTTAAAAGTATTTTTCCACTATTTATTTTTTTTACTATTTTTTTTTTTTTTTCCCCTCAAATGAAAAGCCTACTGTTAGTCAATTTAAAGAGACAGCTAAGGTTTAACTCAAGTTCAAATCTTGAGAAACAGACATGGTCATTTTCATGTTTTTTCCCATGGTCTGACATGAATATTAGCTTGTTTTCCTTAAAAATTCCTCCTTCTTATTAAGCAAATAGCCCTTGCATGCTTTGCCATAATCAGCTAAACAAACTTTTAAAATAAATGGGTAAATTAAAAGAATGCTAATAGTAAAAAAATTATGTTGACATAAAAGATTTGGAGTGAAGACCTCTTGTCTTTAGTACTACTAGTAAGCCATTGGAAATATTTTAAATACATGTTATGTAGAATTTTACTGTGGATGGATTTTGCTTATTTTTTAGAAGTGCATGTTTATTCTTCACATACACTATAATGTTTTTTAAAAGTACTGAGATTTGGAAAAAAATTAATCAATTTGGATTTAGACAAAATTGATGAATCTAAAGCTTTGATAGATAAAATCTGTTTTAGGTTTTTATAATCTACATAATATTTTGGAAAGTAATTTTGTAGAATAATTTGCTTTTGGTCAATAGTTAGTGTTTTTATTTGATTTGATTTCATGCATAGCCATTATGCCATTGTAAGTTTATTATTCAAAATCCAAATGATTCTGTACTTGGTACACAATTTATGACATTAGTAACATCTGTTATGAATTATAATAATGATACAAATGTTCATAAAAGTTATCAGCTGGACAAAATATAAATCAAATGTATTTTAAATTCAGTTAGATATATTAATAAATAATTTAAATATCAAAAAAGTGTGTTTGATGCTTTTAAACTACTTAATTTGTTAAAGAATTGCAGACTGATTAAATTTATAACATAAATTAAGGATTTTATCTTTTGCCAAAGGGCAATATTCTGAGAACTGATTATGCATGAGACTGTATGGAAAATAAGTGCACAGTGGTAACACTTACTATGGTCAATGAGTGATATGTGAATGGTAGTATAACATTAGGTTAAAACAATAAACATATAAACATTATTTGAAGAACATTTTAATTTACCCATTTATTTTAGTTTGTTAAGCTGATTATGGCAAAGCATGCAAGGGCTATTTGCTTAATAAGAAGGAGGAAATTTTAAGGAAAACAAGCTAATATTCACGTCAGACCATGGAAAAAAACATGAAAATAACCATGTCTGTTTCTCAAGATTTGAACTTGAGTCAAACCTTAGCTGTTTCTCTAAATTGACTACCAGAAGGCTTTTCATTTGAGAAAAGCGAAAAAAAAAAATATTTGTGAAAAATATTTTTAAGAAGTGAAGGGGGGGGGGGGGAATGATCCAATACCCAAAAATTTCGTTGAAGATAAGTTTTTTCATTAATTTTGCTCCAATTTATTATATTTTACCACAAATTAATTTATAATTGATGGTAAGTTACAATTTATTTACCATAAAAAAAGATCTAAAACAAAAACTTTCACACCTACCCCCTAATAAATAAATGATGGATTCTTATACTTCTTGTATAAGAATCCATCATTTATTCATTAGGGAGTAGGTGTTATACCCCCTAATGTAATTAGGTCCAATATTTTTGGAAAGGACTTTGTTGAGGATGTTTCTAATGTTAAAAATGGTTGTAAATGGCCCTTTCATAAAAAAATGTAGCATGCATTAATTATACTTCATATGATAATCTTTGTGGTAGTTATTATTTATCAAAGTAGAAATTACAAATATTAATTTTAAGATAATAGACAAATTATTTTTTATCTTGAAAAAATGCAAGTTAATAATTTTTAACATAGTAATTATGCAATTTTGTTGATCATTTTCAATCTTCTTTGATATATGCCTTATGAGTAAATTTGTTTTAAAAGTAGTGAGCACACAGAAACTTGTATTTTAAAATAATGGCAGAAAATATTAGTAAGGAAAATAAGCTGAGTGATAATTTTGTATGTATGATACTAATATATATCTGTTTTGCTTTGTTTTAATTTATATTAATGATTTTTTCCCTTAGGAGAGCAAAGATGAAATCGGATAAATTTTGCAAGTAATCTGTCCTTATTTTTTGGTTTGTGTACTATTAAATGAATCTAACATAACGTAATGATCTGCAAAATGCAGTGCTTACGTAAAGTTGAAAATGACTGTAATATACATTTCTGCATTCAAGAAATCAGAGGAAAGAAAGAGAATAATAACAGATATCTTACTTAGAATATCTGATTATAGAAACATGTAAAAAGGATTTAATAAAAAATTTTTATACATAATTTTACTAGAAAAATTTTTCAGTGCCTATAAACAGAAATTGCATTCAGTGCTAGGTAAAATTCGGCATAGTACGCAAACAACATCAAGTGCTGTGTTATATAGGAAAAAATGGATTATAAAATTTAATATCTAAGATATATTAGAATTAGCATGCCAAAAATTGAAGAACTGTACATGCCAAACAAGCAAAAATCACAAAAATTAATTTTAATCAAATTATGCTAGAACTAGCTTGCTGAGAATGTAAAAATGTAAACATTAAGCATTTTTGCTTAATTTTCATAACATCGACAAGGAATATTCAGTTATCTTCTATAGACAAAAATTACAAAACTGATTAATGGCTGGAATGATCAAGTCTAAATAAAATCAAACCTATGTTTTTATTTTTTAACTCCTCGCAGACATGCAATTGTTTTTCAAATGCCAGCAAATGGCCTGACTGGAAATTTTCATAGTTTCATATAACATAAATAATTCAATTCATTCAATAGAGTTATGAGTTAATATAAGTTAATTATTATGAGTCTTTCTTATACCTTTCGTATTGTACAAATACATTGATTATCAGCACAACAAAATAAACCATTTCAAATGTAATTAATTTATCTGAACATTTTTTTTTTTTTTTTTTTTTATCTGTTTACAATGTGTGAGAGTCTTCAGCCATCATCACTCACTAGATTATGGATAAAACTGGAGAACTAGAAGTGGTACTTAACATTAGTGGTGCATAAGTCTTTAATGGACAATCGTACTATGCTTTACTTGAAGCCCGTAACAATTTTTAATGAAAATCTATTATAATCTAAAATTTTCCAATTTTAATGTTTAACATTCTGTATCAATGAGAATAACATATTAGACTTTTGCTAAAATTGTTAGACCGGAAGTAATATTTGACTTGAAGCTCTGAACAGACTTTCATAAGAAAAACAGTGCAAATAAAATCACTAGCTTTTATCAATTTTTCTGTTATCTATCAACCTTTCATTTTATATGAATACATTGATTATCAGAATAACAAAATGAACCATTTCAAGGGTAATTAATTTATCTGTACACTTTTTTTATCTGTTGCAATGTGTGAGTCTCAGTCATCATTATTCAAGTACGAGTCTTCAGTATGTCTTTCTTCAATGATTATAATTATATCAGGTTTTAATGAAAGTTTCCTGCCACCGCAAATATTGTCTGCACGAACAGTTTGCGTTGGCATGTTTAATCATATTTTGTCAAATGTTTGGCATTTGAAAGAGACTGACTTCCTTTAGAACACTGTGTTGTGAAATTGTAAAAAAATGTCATCATTATTAAGTACAAGATGTCTAAAATGGAACTATCATGCTACCAGATTAGAACCATCGTTTACTTCCAGTTCTGTTGCAAAAAGTCAGCTACAGAATGTCACCAAATCATGTATACAGCTTCAGGTGCTAATTTCTTATCGTATGACACTGTGAAGATTTAGTATCGAAAGTTAGCACTCTGGCCCAGCTTACTGATATTGATGAGACCTGCCTGCGAGAACTCGTGGAAGAAGATCAGTATGCAACCACTCGAGAGCTTCCTAAGGAGTAAGACATTAGTGCCATGTTCATTAGTCGTGATATGCATCTCATAAACTTGATGTATAAGTTCAGTCGCTGGATGCCGCACGAGCTGACTCAAGCAGATAACAACAGACGTGTTTGGACTTGTGCTAATCTGCTCAAATACCAATGCAAGGAAAGAATTCTGGACCAGATCATAACTTGTGATGAAAAGTAGATTTACTTCAACAACACAGACCAAAAACGCAGTTGATCTGCGCTCAGTGAGCCTGTTGGCAGCATCACAAAGCACAAACTTTCAAAAAGATCATGCTTTGTATCTGATAGTATTGCCATGAAATATCCCCAAAGAATATCTGAAAAAAGGTAAAACACTTGACGGTAAGGTGTACAGCGAGATGCTACTCCATGTTGATGCTGCTATGAAGGAAAAACGTCAAATTGAGTTCCATCACAAAAAGATAATGTTCCATCAAGATAATACAAAACCACATGTGTCTGCATTCACCGGCTGTACTCTGTACAAACTCGAATGGGATCTTTTACCACGCCCACCATATAGCCCTGACATCGCTCCTTTGGACTTCTACCTTTTTTCACACCTGCAATTACATCTTACTGGTGCTATCTTCCATTCTGTATAGGATGTCCAATATGAAGCTGATCTATTGGGTTGGCAACTAAGTAATTGCGGATTTCACTCAAAGATGGCTTCAGTTGAATTTTTAGAGTTGCAGACATAGTAAAAATGTAAAACACATTTTGTTATTTGATAGTTGGCAATTCAGCTGTCAATCAGTAAAAAAAAGTTTTTTTGATCGGTTGCGTAGTTTTCGTTTGGCGTTCGTTGAAAAATGGAAAATCAAAAGGAACAGTTTCGTCATATTTTGCTTTTTGTATTTCCGCAAAGGGAAAAATGTATCGCAAGCTCATAAAAAGTTACGTGCTGTTTATGGTGACGAAGCCTTAAAAGAACGGCAGTGTCAAAATTGGTTTGCCAAATTTCGTTCTGGTGATTTTTCACTCAAAGATTGAAAAACGCTCTGGTCCTCCAGTTAAAGTTGATGACGACCTAATCAAAGCAATAATCGATGATTCGGATTGCATCACAGTACAACACGTGAGAGTTGCAGAGAAGCTTCATGTATCACATACATGCCATTGAAAATCACTTAAAACAACTTGGCTCTATGTTCAAAAACTCGATACATGGGTTCCTCACAAAATGAAAAGGAAACGCATTTAACGCAACGCATTAACAGCTGCCATTTGCGTAATGAAAATGATCCCTAAAGATTTGCTAAATAAAGAAACGTAATGAAAATGATCCATTTTTAAAACAACTGATAACTGGCAATGAAAAATGGGTTGTTTACAACAATATCAAGCGGAAAAGATCGTGGAGCAGGCCAAGTGAACCAACTCAAACAACATCAAAAGAAGGTTTTGTTATCAGTTTGGTGGGATTACAAAGAAATTGTCTACTTTGAACTCTTACCACCCAACTGAACGATCAATTCTGATGTCTACATTGAACAACTAACGAAATTAAACAATGCAGTTAAAGAAAAGCGGCCCGAATTGACAAATCGAAAAGGTGTTGTATTCCATCATGACAATGCGAGGCCACACACAACTTTGGTCACTCGGCAAAAATTATTGGAGCTTGGTTGGGATGTTTTGCTACATCCACCATATAGTCCTGACTTTGCACCATCTGATTACTTTTGTTTCGATCTTTACAAAACTCCTTGAATGGTAAAAATTTCAATAATGATGATGATGTCAAATCATACCTGATTCAGTTTTTTGCTAATAAAAATCAGAAGTTTTATGAACGTGGGATTATGATGCTGCCTGAAAGATGGCAAAAGGTCATTGATCAAAATGGGCAATACATTACAGAATAAAGTTATTTAGTTCCATGAAAAAATTGTCTTTGATTTTCTAAAAAAAATCCGCAATTACTTAGTTGCCAACCCAATATTTTGGACTTGCAGCTACCAAATTTCTGGGCCAAAAGCTATGAAAACCTACGAAAACGGTAGCAGAAAATCATAGATTTGTGTAGTGATTACTACCCCCACTACAGGTACTGCTTTCGTGTATTCTCCCCCTAACTTTAATGATGTTTTTTTGGCAGAAAACTTTCATCACAATGAGATACATTTCTTAACACCATGCAATATTCTGAATGAATATTTTTTAGTGCAATTCTCATGTATCCTACATCAAAAATAAATTTTAACAATAAAAAAAATCTGAAAGTTTTTAGACCTTATGTTATATTTAAAGGGGCTTTTCTTTAACGTATGTTACATTTATTTATTAAATATCATGTTCTTTGCACTTAAGTAATAAAATTAAATTCAACAGCTGTGTTACAAAATAATTTTAAAAAGCGCATATCTATAGAAATTTCAATACACAGTCTTGCGCACTGGAGATTGAAAAAAAAAAAAAAAATTCCCTCCATACAGTGTTGCCATTGCTCACTTTGAAATCGTTGAATTTGTTAACCAAAAATTCATTAAAAGTTTTACGAAATATCAAATAGATAATAAAACAAATTCCAAATTAGGGCTTCCAGATGCCCATATTTGGGTGGAGGATTACGCTATTCAAAATTTGATGGCTCTAGGTACTGTTTCTTTATCACAATGTGAGAAACATACATACATTTATGAAGATTCTTCATTATTTAATTTTTTAAATATAATGCAGGTCTCTAACATTTGGTAGCAACAATTTGAAAAGTGATATGCTGTTTATAGTGATTCAACACAAAATGCCAAAATGAAATAAATAGCCCTTCTAGGCTAATGATGATGATGAAATTTTTAAGTAGCATTTAAATTGCTATTTTCTGGTATTCATATTTTCCTTATTATTTTATACAAGTGGTAATGTACATTTTACATTTGAATTTCAAACAGTTTTGTGCCTAATTATATAACATAGCATTAGAAATTTCTCTTAAGTATTCAAATTTGGAAATTTACGTGGTTTTGAAATGATATATACAAATGAAGCAACATAAAATTTCATTGAATTACATAAGCCTTTTTTGTTCTGTCCTTTTTTGACACATCTTCAACAGCTGGAAAATTCTTTTTTACCTACTGCCAGCTATATATGTAGGTAAGGGAATATGTTGATAGTGAGTTTTTAGAGAATAAGCACGAACTGAAGTTCCCGTAACACATTTTTATTATTTTTGCAATATCGTCTGTATGTGACGATTTTTTCCTCACAGTAACTCTTTATGAAACTTCCAAAAATTTCCATTTTCCAAATTTCAGCTATCTACATTATTATAGAGCTGATTTAATTTTGATAAAACTGAACTACCAGAAATAGTACTTGACATCAGTGGTAGGTAAGTTTTTTTAATGTACAATTGGAACTCAACTTTACTTGAAGCCCATAACAGTTTTTAATGAAAA